GGAAAGAAGACGGTGAAGTGAACAGAAGCAGTAGACGGAGAGAAGAGGGAAAATCGGGGATTTAGGGCTTTTGGCCCTCTTTCTTTTTTTCTTCTTATTATTGCTATAATAATCACATGCACACCACCCACAGACACTATGATGCACCTTCGCACACAAGCAATTGGATCTCCAACGGATCCCATTGCACGGCCATCATCACGCGTGTCCATGGTAAACTCTCAGACCTGTGCCACACTCGAACATTGCGCCCCCACTAATTAATCACCTAATCAGCCTTTAATCAACTCTTTTTAAAATTAACTAATATATTTTTTTTAAATTAACCTTTAATTAATCTCCTTATTAACAATTAAATTAACCTTAATCTTTTAATATTTGGACTCTTTTATTTTATTTCTAATTAACTATTTAATCTATTAATTTATTTTAATTAGACTCTTTTAAATAAAAACTAATAACCCTTTATAATTAACCTGTATTTAAATCAACTTTTATTCTATTTTATTAGTTCATCAAATAATATAATAATCATTCAAAACCCATTTCTAAATAACTTGAGTTTTAATAATAAACAACCCTTTTTTAAGTTAACTTTTTATGATAATAACTAAAAATCCATTATATCTAATAAAACATTTTTTTCAATTTATTAATTAAAACTCTTCTATTAAAAAGGCTAATTACTATTTTAAATCTAAAATAAATAAGACCTATACTAAAACGAACCTAATATAACTTTCTCAATTAATCCAACTTTTCTTAAAAATCAACCTCACCAAATTAATTCAACATTTCCCTTAAAATCAAATTCACTTATAATTTTTAATCTAATAAAATAATATAATTTTTCATAAAAAAAATTCCGTCTAAAATCAACCAACATCGTAATCAATTCAATCGTGCACGCTTCCGTCTCTGATCCGTTTGCACGCTCACAATTCACACACTCACTTTGCGCTTTCATGCGTTTGTGTATATTTAGTTATCTGCTTTTATTTTATCCGCAATTTACATTTACCGTATTTATATTATCGCATTGCATAAACGTCCAAAGGAAGAACCTGCGCATAACCTAAACAATTGTGCGTATGCATCTCATTTGCATCATACTCCCCTATGATCCTTGATCCCATTCAAGTTGATCTTTTAGGATAGATCCTACCCCATAGGAAGGACCTTCCCGTTCATCTTTTACAACATAGGAAAAACAAATCAACTCAAATCAAACTGTTCAAACATATTAGAGAATAAGATGTTAATCATCTTAAGTGAGATAAAACTTCTACCCCATAACAATACGATCAATTTTCCTACAAAGTTGTGGTGGTTAAATTAAGTAATCTCCCTTAAAATGACAACTCATCTTTTCTCCTAAGACCATTCAATCAACTACCTTTATCTCGTAGGAACTTTGACCACAGTCAAAGAACTCCTCAAACCCTTTAGGGGAACTACAGATACTCTGATTTCATTCCCGTTAGGATATGTAGGCATAAGATGCGATATCTTATCGAGTATACTTAGATATAAACCATTAGGTCTCTCATCCTTAAGCAGATAACCCTTAGCAACAACACATAAAACAAGAGGTTCCTGTAGAGTACTACAGAAACTTAGGATGTTAGCACCTTCCCTAAGTTTAACCAACCCCCGAACCTAAACTCTCTAGTTTTTGCATTTGCATTGCATTGTGGGTATTTAGATCTTTTTTCCTTCCTTTGGACAAATCAAAGTTCGGTTGCAAATGAATTAAGATTCAAGTTCATCAATAGCTTGGTATCCAAATTTCACTGCGACAGTAACCCATTTCTGATAATGTCATCCATTTCTCTTGGGGATGAGGACCTAAAGATGATATCATCAAAGTCTAAAATTCATTTCTATATGCTTATGAGGATTCAACCATGTGACTTTCAGATAATCAAAAAAGGGTCTAAAACCAACACATGTGTGCTCAAGTTGTTGCAGCTGTTGATGGTACTCCACCTCATCATTAGCCCTTATAAGTTCATGCCATAGTTTCTCTATCGGATCTCGCATATCATTTACAACATACTCCTTGCACTCTAATTTCACATTTTTGTTGATGTGAAATCAACAAAGAAAATTAATTGTCCTTGGAAATATTGTTTTAATTGCTTTCATCAAATCAAGATCTCTATCAATCAAAATCACTTGTTAACATAACCCTTGCTTACTAAACAACTATTTCAACTTATCCAATACCCAAAAAAATTCTCTGTCTGCTCAAATTCCATATAGTCAAATGCAATAGCAAATACCAACTTAGTTGATGTCATACCAACTATTTCAAACAAAGGTTACCTATACTTGTTTGTCTTGTGCGTATTTTCCATAATCAACACATTAGGAAACATATTCAACTACTTCACTACTTATAGTTGGGCCTATAAGATATCTCTCACAACTTCTTACTCGAATTTTTTTCTACTCAAATAAGCATAATTTGAATCCTCTATCAGCTTAAACAAATTTTACATTTCCGTTCTAGGACCCCTGATGTCTTTTTGAATCTTACTCTTATGTATATATATTTGCATGACCCAAGTCACATTCTCCGAATCTCGTTCTTGTAAAGGAAATAGTATGTGTCTTGGTGGAACATGAAATTTTTTCAAATCAACAATATGTTGTTGTTCATCAGCATTAAGTCGACCTACAAATGAATTTCAAACAAGTTCGGTAAACCATGGTTGTGAAATCCACATTTTACATCATTCTTCTAACCAGAACCATTTTTTTGACAGTGTTGACCTAAATTTGAATGGACAACCACATTTCTTATTAGCACTTTGTGTTACACTATCTTCTTTGTATTTTCCACCTTTATCACAACCAAATATAACTTTGTTACTTCTTCCTATCTTGTCAGTTTTGGTATCCGAACGAGTTATTATAATTGTCACTTATTCCTGATTCTAACCTCCTTAACTCACCTTGTTGCCTTTTCTTGTGTATCAAATTTTTCTATAGTTCAGAATATCTCAGTGGTATCTACACTTATTTGGTTTTTATCGCATATCATCAAAGGAATATCTATACATGTTAAATATAAATGTAAAAAAAAAGATTAATAAAACTTAAAAAAAAAGTTAACAAAATGCGTACCAGAACTCTTAGAAGTAACAAATCCGGTTAGTAAACAAAAAAATCGGAACTCTTACATGTAAGATATGTGGTTAGTAAAAAAAATTAAACTGAAAAACACATGGTGAAGTTATCCGGTTGGATTTAGTGAGCCGGATAACAAGGTAACGTGTTATCCGGTGTGTAACTAAATAAACCAGAAATCATGACTTTAAGTTTTTCAATTTGATGACTAAACATACTAGATGTCTTCAACTCAAGTTATCCAGTTCGCATAACAGGGGTACACAATAACTTCTTTTGAATGATTTGGATAAATGGTTAAAAGTAAGATATTAAAGTGAAATTAACAAGGAGGCTTAGGTTTAAAAGATTTACGATTATTCAATGTGGCATTGTAAGGGAAATGGCTATGGCGATTCATCAATGAACCTGATGCAATTTGGTGTGCTTTACTGCATATTAAGTATGGCAATTATGTTATAATATTTTTGTTGGTGATCTGTGTGTAATAAAACAATCAGATTCGCAATGGTGAAAAGATATTATTAGGATCAATACTTCAGCTATTATGAATCCTTTTAGTGAACTCTTAACAATAAGATTGGGTGATGGTAAATCAATTCTATTTTGGAGTGCGAGTGGATAGGAAATATCACTTTAAGAAATCAATTTCCTGGCTTGTATTCAATAGCAGACTCAAATTGTGTAATGCTTGAAGATATGGGAAAGTGGGATCAAGATGTATGGATTTGGATGATGGAATTCCAAGGGTTTGTCTCATCTCAAGTTGCAGCTGAAGAATACCAGGAACTGTCCACATTGTTGCAGGAGATAAAACCAATACAAGGGAAACAAGACGTGATTATATGGCTGTGGGAAAGTTTGCAAAAATTTTATGTTAAATTATACTATGCCAAATTACTAACAGCGGTGGTTGGAGGAGAAATAGAAGATAATATCAAACAAGTTTTTGGCAGTATTTGGAAATCGTTTTGTCCTTCCAAAGTGAAGGTATTCGGATGGAGGCTCTTACAGGACAGGTTGTTGACGAGAGAAAATTTATTTCGAAGAGGTATTATATCAAACCCACACAAAATTGTTTGTGTTTTCTACTTTCCTCATTTGAAGACCGCAAATATACTCTTCATTTCCTGTCCAATGATGAGGATAGTTTGGAAAAAGGTGTTTCAATGGTTGGACTTGAGGGAGGTAAATGATACATCTTTAGCTACTCACTTACTGTAATGGAATAATAATTTTAAAGGTAAGGTTTCAAACATGACTGCTATTAGCTTGTGGTTGATTGTTTGTTGGGTCATTTGGGGGGTTAGAAATCAAATTTTGTTTAACGATGACGTAGGTGATTCCGAGTCTATTGTTTTGAGAATTAAATTTTTCACTTGGTGATGGATTCTTAATCTTTCTAAAAGTAATATGTGCTGTAATTTTTATAAATGACATTTATTTCTCTTAGACTTTTTGTAATAGAAAGAGTACCCTAACATAGATACTAGTTGTACAGTGGTTGAGGTACTCCTAATACCTCCTTTCTAATATTATACTTGGCTTATAAAAAAAGATAAAAATTTTCCTTTTGTCTCCCATAATTTTTATCCCAAAAACGCTCAATTTGGGAAAAATTGACTAATTTCTCAATTATGAATGTTGGGCCCACCTTGCACGAATTCTTGATTGGGGGCATGCATAAAACAAGACACTTTCATTTAAACTAAGACCTTACTTGTATGTACAAACTTTGACCCACGAATGGTCGAAACAGTATAATTGACCACGCTTTCAATCTAGCACACCATTTCCTCAAACATATATAAATTCAACACCAACAACACACTTTTCTCCTACATTTAAACCAAACAAAAAACATTATGGATCCATTTTTTCCTGAGAATCTTCTTCTAGGTGATGTTTTCTGGGATGAACATCTTCTTTCAACAACTAATTTTGTTCAAACACAACAACCTTGTCCTATTCAAAACCCAAGTGCTTTTGTTCAATATAGAGACCAACCCAAGATTAGTTTAGGAAAACAAAACTCTCTAAAAGGGTCCAATTCACATTCCATGAACAAGAGAATGTTTGCATTTTTGAGAAAAAGTTTGCCGTCAGAGAGAATTAAAGCAGCTGAATGTGAAAGAGAACGTGGCTTCAAACACATGATTAGTGAAAGAATGAGAAGACAAAGACAGAGACAGTGTTGTTCCAACTTACATTCAGTTTTACCTCATGGAACCAAAGTAAACATATATACAAACTTTCGCATCATAGTTTTAAGTTGCAGTCACACTGGTTCGCAGTGTAATATTTTCAAAGTATTTCTAATTTGGAATTTTCTTTCTTTCTTTTGTGGTAGACAGATAATAATTCAGTAGTGCAAACAGCAGCTAAGGAAATTCAAAGGCTGCAAGGATGCAAAGAGGAGTTAGAGAGGAAAAACTTTGTGCTTGAAGGAAATATCGAGGGAAGAAAATTGCAGCATTTGAGAGTGACATATTCATCTACATCTGGAATTGATTCTATAGTGGAGACACTGAAATTGTTGAAAGGACATGGTGTGGATACTAGAAGGGTCAAGACAGATTTTTCTCAGCAGGAGTTTTTTGCAGTCTTAGAGATAGAAACTGAGGTATGTTTTTGTCTAAGAAATTCTGGTTTGTCAACAGAAAAATTGTTTAATATTTTTAGTGTTAGGTTTTCTAGTTGTGAGTTTTGGAAAGTTGGAACATAAATAAGATTTGTTTATGCTAATAATTGGTTGGTTTGTTGAAAGATTGCAAGAGCTGACGTGGAAGAGGCTGTTAAGAGAACACTTGATGAACTTGAGTGGAAGTTTCACTCTCATGTCCAAGGAGGTTCTGAAAAGCAAATACTACATCCATTTTAGATGGAATTAGTTTAATATTTTTGTATATAAATATGATAAAGTTGTCAATAGACACTTGTACTTTTAAAGTAATTTTACTTCTTTGGCTATTGGTGTAATTTTATTGTCATACTTTTGAGATTTGAGACTCATGTATATAAGATTCTCTCAACTTCATATAAGTATTTTTTTAAAATAAGTATATAATATCAATCGATTATTATCATGTATTGTATCAAATCACACTGATATTTTTAAATTAATTATATGACATGATTAAATAATAAATTTCAATTGGTTGAAAATATAAAATTATTTTATACCGCATATCTTTTTTTCTCATTATTTATTATTTTTAATATATCTTTATTTGTTATATTTTTGTTCCGACCAATCTCAAATCCACTAATTAGTGTGTTTTAGGGTATCTATGAGTTTGGAAAATACGTCTTGTAGGGTAAGGGTTTAAATCTTGAGTACGTGAGTCTGACTTTTCTCCGAAGGCTAATGTTTCCCCTGACTCAAAATTGATGTACCGCATCCATGAAATATTGTCTTATTTAAGAGTAGAATCCTTCACGATTTTATTCTTTAGAAAAAATGCATAGTTGAATTGACAGGTGTGAGTATTATATATAAATTGAAATTCCCCTCGACTTTCAAATAATTAAAAAAAAATTAATATACTAAAACAAGGGACACTTAGCTTTTTTTTAAATCGGTTTTTTTCTTACTTTTGAGCCGCGATAGAACTGTCACACGTATTATCTATTTCAAGTATATTATTTGCAAATACAATGGATATTTAGGTTTCTACATTTTGTACATTCTAGGTTTGATTTGAGAACCTTATCATGTTTCTGAACTAATAGTATGGTGAGTGGCTTCAGTCTCCCATTGGATGTGTTCTTGTTGGTTTTGGGGGTTCTTTGTTTTTGTATGTGTTAGTTGGAGAGATCTAACTTTGTTTGGATTCTGATTCTTGTGCTTTTTTCTCTGTTTGTCACCCCCTCGCTTAGTGGTTGGAACTGTTTTGTTGGTTTTTTTTTTATCTTTTTGTTGTTTTGATAGTTTTTTCCTAGATTGACACTCCTTGTATCGTTCTCCGTGTTGGTCTATGTGTATTAGCCTTTAAAAAAATTTTACATTAATTTTTTTGAAAAGATTTGGTCTCACAATTTTTTTTAAATCAAATTTTTTTAGATATTCATGAAAATATATTAAAATTATGTTTTTGAATTTTAAGGGATCAAATTGTCACATAATTTGGTCTCTTACAAGAATTGCAAAACTCAAATTAATCCTGAGAAAAAAAATCATATTTAAGACCAGTGTATTTTAGCTTTTTTTTTTTTAAATGATTTTTATAGTTTTACTTATTTTTATGTAAACAAAATTTATAAAGAAATTTTTCATAAGAGTTTCAAATGAAAATTTAGTTTGAATAGTTATTCTAAAATGTTACTTTAGGTATTTTTTCATTTTATTGAGAAAAAATTTTGGATTTTAAAATTTCAAAATTCACTTAATTTTGAAGCTACTTCAAATAGTTTTTCATAAAAACCATTTTTAAAATACAACTTTTTAAAAATTTTGCGATTTCGACTATGTATTGGTATTCAATATTGTATGTCTTCTATTCGGGAATCATAAATGGATTTTTCAACTTCACGAAGAAAGAAAAAATGAGGATAGTTTGATAACTGTTAATCTTGAATGGTGGCTCCGACCTCCTTTAAAGTGGCGCGGGGTGAACCTGCATGGTTAGCACTTCAACGCCCAAATAAGATCAAGATTCAAGATGAGTAAAGTGAATATGGAGATTTGAGATTGTGTTCCTTCTCATAACGTGTTGATTGTCTTATATGTTGGGTCTAGTAGAATGAAGTTGAGATAGATTTTATCTTGGTCAATTGGACATTTGGTCGGTCCAAAACAGTATGTTTATGTTATAGGATGTCAGAATTAGTCTTTTAATTTATTAAAAAAATAATAATTTAAAAATAATTGTAATATTTTAAAAACGTTTTATAAAAATCGTTTTTGAAAATACAAAAAAAATATATATTTTTTAAAGCTAAAGCAAACAAGCTCTTAATCCTTACAAATTTAAGTTGGGCTATGTTAGTCCCTTTGTATATAGATACATTATTAAAACTAAGGATCAAGCATTAAATTAAAATAGACACTATCGTGCACATTATCAAATCATCAAACTCAAAAGATAATTGTCCTGACATTACTTTAAAAAAATCAAAAGATTATAGGACTATCGAATTTGAAAGACCACTATACCAACAATTAGAAATTCAAAATCCAAAATATTTGGTATCATCAAAATAAAACCAATAAAACAAAGTACCATAAAATTTCAAAGAATATTATACCAACAACTACAACTTCAAAACCAAACATCATAATGCCATCAAATCCAAAAGACAATCTAATTAAAATAGAAGGAAATGTCAAGTAGACTATAATTATATAAATCTAAGAGTAAGCATGAATTCAGGATTATTGGATCCTTTTTGTAGAGGTTGAGATGAACATGGAGAGCTAATGGAGGTGTTGGTGGTCGGATTGATGAAATTCTAAGTTCTGAAGAACATGCAATGAAAGAAGGAGGGGTGGCACAACATGAAAAGGTGGTGACCTAACATGAGGAGGTCTTATAAGAGGAGACTTTACAATTGATGGTTATGATGATAAACTCTTTATTGTGATTGTTTTCGTATTTGCTACCTTTTTATTTTTTTTTTCACATATCCTAGTTTGGGAGGTCATTTACATGTCTTTTTATAATGACCAACTTCACTACATTTGACTCAACCAACTTTTCAACAATCTTTCCTTGATTTCTATTGACATCGTCATATTTATCGCTTTTAGTGTATGACTCAAAGTCTTTTCATTATCAGAGTCACTTTCAAAATCACTTACAAACGCTTATCTGCATCAACACAGTGTAACAACAACACAACGACACAACAAAAATACAATAAATCACTCTCAAGTACGCAGCCATGAAAGAAAGACACATATTTAGAACAACAAGAGAAATTTGCACAAAATTAAACAACACGTGTTTTCTTTGGCTTTGGAGAAATATGTTTATACCAATGACTTTTGCGAAAAAATTGAACGATATATGCATATGATTTTATATTAAAAAAAACAAGATTGAAAAAATGGAACAACATGTGTATATGCCATCGTTGGTTTGGTTTGAAAAAATCTATTAAACCATATCAATATATCATTAAACCTTTTTAGAATATCTTATTGTTTATGCTAGGTTTATAATAAAAATGAAACTTATCTTTGTCTCCGTCTCCGTCTCTGGTACGTTTTATGTCGTCTTCTCCGATTGAATTAGTTTTCATCATTGTTGTCGATACCATGTGTGGTTGTGTGAGTGGATAAAAAACAACACAAAGAGAATATGAAAAGTGTGAGACTCGAGAGAGAGAGAAAGAGAGTTATTTCTTTTTTGTGAAAAAAAAAGAAAAAACTGTTCAACTCGTTTTTTTCATTTTTTTTAATTATTTTTTCAAATGAATCACTAATTTGTCCAATTAAAAATTACTTCAATTTTATAGTGGTACTTAAGTAGGGGTGGCAAATCGGGCGGTCCTCCCCATTTAAGCTCAAAAGTTAAGTCCGCCCCGTTTACTAACGAGTTGGGGGGTTGTCTGTCAATTTTTATTTTTACAATTTTATTTACTACATAATTTACAAAATTGTTAATCATTAACAAAGAGGCCGGCAATTTTTAACAATGCATAGTAAAACTTTAACAAGTCTTAATGTAAATGTCATATTCTTCAACATAAACAAACAACGTAACTATAATATCAAAGACTTAAAACAAACACACTAAAACCCCAAAATTCAAAATTCATTATCATAATGAGAAACAAACTCCTCTATGCAAAACTTACCTTATAGCTTTAGAACCCGACTCCAATGACAACGACTAATAGAAAATAGAAAAAATATATATATATATTCTCTATGTTTTGCAATAAAATATTTTCCTACTATGAGTGAAAATAAAGAACGAAGCAGAGATCAACTAATGTCTTCAAAATGAGGTGTTTGTGGTTATGTGAAAAATGAATATTATGGTTTGAAGAAATGAGGATTATTTTAAAAGTATGTCTACTACATACCACGTTAATATTGTTTTAAGTCAGTAAAAAAATAATTTTTTTAAACAAAAAGTCTGTGGGCAAAACCCGCTTTTGGCCAGTTTTAGAAGTGGGTTAAGTGTGGCGGGTCAACTTAAGACACCTAGCCAAAAATCTCGCTCTGACCCGCCAAAATGGTAGATTAAACAGGCGGGTCCGATGGGCCCAATTCGTTTTACCACTCATATACTTAAGTAACACTATTTAAAAATGATTCGATGATTCATAGACTAACATAATCGATTTAATACTATAATACATTATGGCTTAAATAGTCAATTGCCCCCTTTACGTTGACGTGTTTGTGTTTTCCGTCTTATATCTATTTTTTTAGATAAAATTCTTAAATGTTGAATTTTATTTAATTTTACCTTTCTAAAGTTTAAATATGTAAAAAGAAATATGTAGATTTCCTACTAATTTTAAATTAGGAGACTAAAACTATAAAAAAAAATATCATTCAAAAATTATTTCAAACAAAATACAAAGAAAAAAATTAAAAACACGCTAATTTATATAAATCAACTATTTAAGTCAAATATTATTTATTTTTTAAATTAATATGAGATTATATAGTTTTTTAGGAAGTAAAATGAATCTTCACTATTTATAATTAAAAAAATGCTTGATCAATTTACTTTTCTTTTTCCTTTTTGTAGATGTCATGGACTATGCTATCATGCTACATCTAGAATCTAGTATAGGCGGTTTGAATTACAACTCTCTCTAATTCAATTATAAGCAAAATTAATTATTTTTATATTATTAAGAATATATTTAGATGTATTTAGTTTTTCTCTTCATGTAAATAAAAGCACATCTACCAAACTA